AGTCCCAGCTGATCAGGAGGAAATGGAATTTTGCATTAACCTTCCCCTGGAGTGGGGAGGGGATGGAGATTTTACAGTGTCTTTCCCCTGCCACACCCATCAAGCCATGCCACACCTACAAAGCTATGCCCCAGAACTGGTAGTAAATTTTTTTGAATCTCACCACTGGTACATTCCCTTTTATCTGTGCAATAAGACTATTCAATAAGAATCTAAGCAAGAGAAGCAAAGTCAAGCTTCACATGCAGACCAACCAATTGTATCCAACCTACTGAGAGATAGGTGTATGTCATCACCATTTGGGGGTTTCATAGTCTGCAACTTGGATTAACAGTTTTGATATCATAGGTTTCAAGAGCCTCCAGTGCAATGGCCTTCTAAATGCATGCAACTGAAATACTTTCATGAAGATATTGAACAAATTAGCCAGATACATGATTTTTAAGGGTAGCCCACAGATTTCATGCTTACTGTTTTCCTCGTTGACGAGTCCATAGCTGACCTCATAAGCTCTGATCATGCCGTTTGTTTCTGCAGGCTCAGCCCAGCTCAGCTGCGTCACAGTGGATGAGATGACGTTGAAGGCCAAGCGTCCAGGCTCACTAGGAACTACAGAGATGAAATGCAGAAACTATTCTGTAGCAATTAACACAGTGTAGGAATGTTTGAATGTCTTTGAATGCATTGAGGGAGGAATACAAAGAGTTGGCTACCTGAAGCTGGAAATAGCACAAGAGCTATATAATACAGTAATTTTAAAGCAGATGCCCTAAACATCAACCAAGTGCTTAATTTAGGAGCATTTTCTGCTCCCCATAGGAATTCTAAAGTTAAAATCTGGAGTTTGACGGATAAATATATATTAGTATTTGGTATTAGTTAAAAAAAGAAGCAATTGACACACAGCCAGCCACAAGACTAGTTCAATAATGATGAATAACAACAACAACAAAAATTATATATGTTATATAGGGATGCCACATTCATCCTATTCCAACAACCTAGGAAAACAATCAGGTTTTTAATGATTGTCTGAATGTCATCAGACTGAGCCGCAGTGGCAATGGTTAGAGTGCAGTACTGCAGGCTGCTTCTGCTGCCTGCCGGCTGCCTGCAATTTGGCAATTCAAATCTCACCAGGCTCAAGGTTGACTAAGCCTTCC